CTGTGGTCCCAGCTACTTGGGAGGCGGAGGCAGGAGACTCGCTTGAGCCCAGGAGTTGGAGGTTGCTGTGAGCTGTAATTCCACGGCACTCTACCCAGGGGGACAGCTTGAGGCTCTGTCTCAAAAAAAAAAAAGAAAAGGCACAGGATTTGCAAATCACTATTCTAGACCAGCCTTTGAAAAACTTGACAATAGAAAGTACAAGGAAGGGCAGCACCTGTGGCTCAGTGAGTAGGGCACCGGCCCCATACACTGAGGGTGGTGGGTTCAAACTTGACAACAAAAATGGGTGGGCATTATGGTGGGCGCCTGTAGTCCCAGCTACTCAGGAGGCTGAGGCAAGAGAATCACCTATGCCCAAAAGCTGGAGGTTGCTGGGATTTGCAACGCCATGTCAACTCTACCAAGGGCAACAAAGTGAGACTGTGTCTCTAAAAAAAAAAAAAAGAAAAGAAAAAGAAGAAAGAAAGTACAAGGGAAACAAAGTTTTCTCCCTTCAAAAATGAAAAACCAAAGTGATGCCTAAACTAAATAACTCCTATAAACTTAAGGAACATTAGGCAGCAACATCTGTCATGTTATGACCAGTGTGTATACCAGAGTGCACAAACACAAATCAAAATTTTTACTTTTTCTAGACTATCACTGATTTTAGAATATAAGCTCCTGAACTACATTTCCTGTGTATTTATTAACTATGTCATATTCTTATACTTGACAGACAAGCATTTTAAATACACCATAAGTTATGTACCAACAATTATAAAGAAAAATATAATGATATTTTTGCAATATACATACAGTAGGCCTGGCACACCATGAAGGCTCCATAAAGCTTCACTGAAATGTATTCAAGTGGTATGTACCACATGATGCTAGACAAAGCACTATGTCAGATTCTGTACCAATAAAAAAATGCTAAGGTGACAATGTAACATGGTGTTTTAAGAGCGGCAATAAGACAACACACAGGCTTTGGAATCAGACAGACCTGTGTTCAAATCTCAGCTGTAATACTCTATAGCTGGGTAACCTTGGGAACATTATTTAACCTATCTAAATTAGTCTCATATGTAAAAGAGGAGGAATACCTATCTTATAAGGTTACAATGCTGATTAAATGGCATTATAGGCAGTCCCCAAATTACAAACATTTTACTTACATACAATTCCCACTTATGAATGGAGGCTGTTACAGGTAATAGGTGAATGTACCTTTCAAACTTACATACAAATTCAACTTAAGAACAAGCCTACAGAACCTATCTCGTTCGTAACCCAGGGACTACCTGTATAACTTCATATAACATGAATTACCACAGTCCATTTTATTCAAGCCCTAGAACAAAATCAATCCAGATATCTGAAGGATAACAAGCCTATACAATTTTTAAAGTTCCACAAGTGATTCTGACAGGCACTCCTGTTCAGAATCCATTAACCTAAAGCCTTACTAACAATGCTTTACCTGAGTCCAAGGTAAAGGAATAATGATTCCTTTACCATAGAAATAAAGGAGCTTTAAGACAAGATCCTTTAGCTTAGTTCCAAGTTTCTAGGACAAGTCTTTACTTTAAAAGTCTTCTATTTTTCTTCACAGAATAGAATCACACTGCAAAAGGTTCCATTTAGTATCTTTCCCAAAGCCAGAGAAAAACAATTCCATATTAAAATTTTTACCTCAAAGTCCAGTATACATAATTTCAATAATGAACATTTTAAAAACCTGTGTAGATGAACAGCGTAACCAGGGCTATATATATTAAGTAACTCGGCTTATTTCTACGTTATCTTTCTTAAAAATCCGTTTAATTAAATCCATTGATGCCTTACTGAAACTCTCCCATAATTTTATTCAACACACATATTTTAAAAGACATATCTCATAATCTTACTAAAGTCTGAAGGTACCTAAGCAAATTCAATATTCCTGATGCAAACCTGAAACCCTTTTTATAAGAAAAACGTATAGCACAAAAAAACAAAAACACATTCGTGAACATTTTATTACAAAAGAATCAGCATGAAATAATGAAAATCCCTGCAAAAAATTAAAAATCCAGAAACACTGTAGGACTTCTTCAAAACAAACAACAAAAAACTTAGAATGGCTGTATCAGAACTACTGTGCCAATAGCAGATCAACTGAAAGGAAGCAAGGACTCAAGTGGAATCTTCCTTAAAAGATTCTTCTGTTCCTGTTAAGGAGAGAACTGGAAGGGAAAGCAAAGGCTAGAGCAGACAACACGGGCAAACAATACAGGCTACATTAATGTACAGGTTTTATTAATTTAGATACACGTTAACACATTCTCAGCTACTTACATTAGTGACGCTTATGAGTGACAAATACAATTGCCAACTTGAAAAAGGGTTAAAACTCAAATTTGCATACCACAGTACAAAGGTCAAAAACCTTTAACAGGGGCTGGTGAAGTATTATTTACTAAGCCCAGGCTTTTTAATGCATTTGTCAATGCAATTTTTTAAAAATAAACGCTTTACTAACTTCACTCTCACAGAAAATTAAGTTTGCAGTATAGTGTGGTATAAAACTGTATACCAACATAACTCTATAATCTCAAGTAGTTTAAAGCAAACTGTATACAAGTTCAAAGAAATAAAACAATTTTAACTTAAGCTTTTCAAGTTTTTTTTAAAGTCAAGAGTATATCCAAGCACAATTCTAAAACGCGGAGTTAACAGGTGTTATAATTTTTGAGACTTTATAGTTTCAAAATACTTTAGTTTTACTTTTTAGAAGTTGAACTTCATCCACTTTAAGCAGTTAAGTAACAGTTTACTAGCTCAAAATCAAACCAAAGAGACTCATGTTTGAGGACACTCTCTCTACAATAATCCAGGCTTCCTTTTTTCGACACTGTATTTTCCTAACTATTCACCCTAGGCATATGACATCTATGACAGCGAACAAAACTGCTTACAACCTAAATATCTAACAACAGTCTGAAGAACAGGTGCAACGCTATTTAGATGCATGCTTTTTTCTGCTAAGCCTAAATTTGCCCTGGAAAGAGATTTAAAAATAAACACATACACCAAAAAGTTAAATAACCTTAATAATCTTTTCAAAAAGATGCAGCAAATTGGAAATCCAAGACAGGAGCATAAATTATCAACGTCTTTCAAAAAAGTGAGGTGAGGTACCAAACGTTCACATTACGAGGAATGAATCAGGTTCAACTATGAAGGAGGACATTTAACTTTGCTTCTCCTGCATGAGTTAGTGACATGAGACAACTACGTTTTACTTCAAACTAATATTCAATCTTTTCTCAATCGTTTCATAAACACGGCACATAGGATCTCGTTTGGCCTTTTCTAAGAAAACAAGGGGACTTGTGGAGTGTAGGAAGAGGTCTAGCGAAGGGTACTCTAATAAGAAAATTTCAAAGTTGAAAGCGTTGATGAGTCACTAAGGAATAACTACAGAATCCAAGCGAGTAAGGGCAGCATCTCAGGTAGGAAGGTACTCAAAAGTTGACGGTGAGAAATGAAAACTTCACAGGCCACCTGCAGCCACTGCGCTTGGTAGCAGCCCAGGGAACCAGCGTGGCTGTCAAGGGGCAAGTGCGTACCAAATAGAGGGGAAGGGGGCAGAAAGGCCAAGTTTAAAGGGGGGTGGTCCGGGAAATGGTGGTAAGATGCCCACCCAGTCCCTCTCCTCTGGTTCTTCATCTAAAGACGACCGAACAAAAGCAAACTCTGTGTCCAACAGCGCCAAACCGGACTCTCCCAGAGAGAGGTGCTCGGCCCCAAGCCCCGGAGGCCCGGGAAGGCCGCCTCCGGAGGAGCCCCCGCAGACGCCATGCTAAAAGCCAAAATGGCTGCCCCGAGGAAGCCCGCACCGCGTACCCAGTGAGGGCTGGGGAGCAAGATTCTGCAGGAAAGGGGGAGGGGGACTCCAGAAAACGCCGCTGCCAGGACCATCACCCCGGAGCAGCACAGGTAGGCTCCACTCGGTCTCCCAAGGCGCGGGCTCCAGCTGAGGGGAGTCCTAGCCCCACCCCCCGGCCGGGAACCCCGGCGCCGCAGCCGTCCCGCACACCAACCCCAGCGAGGTACCTGCAGTTCGGCCCGCTCCACCTCCCAGTGCGCCCGCTCCATCTCGAACCGAGCCCACTCGTGCTGGATGTAGTGCAGTATCCCTGGGATAGTGTACTGCTGCGGCCGGGACAGCTCGGGGCCTGCCGCGGGACCCGCTCCCTCGGAGGCCGGAGGACCCCCGCCGCCCGTCCCCCCATTGCCCCCTGGCGAAAGGCTTAGGTTCCCCCCAGGTCCCTGCGGCTGCCGAGGAGGGGCCGCCATCCCCGGGCCGCCACCGCCGCCTCCGGCAAGCTCGTCCATTGTGTGTGTGGCCCCGGCCGGGGCGCAGGGCTAGACGCCGACAGCCGGGGGAAGGGCCGGAGAGGGCGGCCTCGAGCTGGCGACGGGGCGGAGGCCGGCCAGGAGAGGGGCGGGGAGGGGGTCGTTGCTGTGTGCCTGCCGTGGGTCAGAGCAGGGAGCTGCCGGCCGCCGCCATTACAGTCCCTCCTCCATCTGCCCGGCTCACTCACTCACTTTAGGGGAGGGGGGGCCCCGGCGGGAGGGGGAGCGGGGGCAGGGTTGGGACGGGGATAGACGTAGGGGCCGTCACTGGCGCACAGCATGCCGGGTAGAGAACGCCTCTGTCGCCGCCTGCTTAATAGCCAAATAGAGTCCGGCCTCACCCTACGCAGGCGCACTGAGAACGCAGTCAGGGTCGCGGTTAGAGGGCGGGGGTGGATTCGGACTCCGCCTCTAGGCCCACCCTCGGACCGGGTCAGGGCGTCTGGCGGCGGATACTGGACTTTGGGGCTTGGACTCTGACTTTGGGGAGTGAGTCGGCCCTTGATACTTGGCTTTGAGTTTCCTTCGCTCAGGCAGCCGCCGGCGCTGTTTCCCACTCTTGGGCCTGATTTCGGAGCTGGGTTATTGCTCTCGCCCGTCGCGCTGGTTGGCCGCAACCCGTCCCGAATTCCTGACGTTTCTTTTGCATTCTTGGCGTGTTTCAGGCAGTCCCAAAGGGTCGGCCCTCTTTCTCTTTGCCTGTCCCTCGCTCTCTGGTTTCTTACAACCAGTCACTTCCTGGGATTTGAGAGACGTTCTGGTTTGGCGGATAGCCCAGATCCTTCGGACGTGCTGTCTCATTACTCTGTCGAGCCCAGGCTTTGGTCCCATTTCTGTGCGCCAGGTCCCGGGTTGTAACTTGTTCCACTTTGCCTCCCCTCTTCTTTCTTATTCTGAGGTGGGTAGTGTTTGGGAGGGTTGGGAGAGGTGCGGGGATGATTGCTTTCGTTTTTTTCTTGGGAAAAAAGAAGGTAGCGAAATCCTTTAGGTCTGGACGATTGTGGGCAAAAGGAAGAAGGTTGACTTTGAAGGAGACTGACTACACTAACAATTTGACGTTACAGGCGTGAATGAGCTCACAGATATTGTCGTTATGGCAGAATATTTTGATTGAAATAGAAAATAAAAGCATTTTGGCTACAATTTAAAATCCCAGATGAACGGCTGAAGATGTTTTCCTGGGTCATTTGAGTGAATAAAATATATATTACTAGACAGGGGTAATTTTTTATCCTTTTTAAATGTTTAACAACAGATACATTTTAAACTTTTTTCTAATACATATATATATATATGCATAGAAAGAGAGAGAGAAATAGTATCTCACTCTGTCACCCTAGGTAGAGGGTTGTGGCATCATAGCTCACATCAACCTCAAACTCCTGCGATCAAGCGATTCTCTTGCTTCAGCCTCCCAAGTAGCTAGGACCGCAGGCACCCACCCAGCTAATTTTTTCTATTTGCTCTTGCTCAGGCTGGTCTCCAATGCCTGCGCTCAAGCAATCCACCCTCCTGGGCCTCCCCGAGTGCTGGGATTACAGGTCTGAGCCACCACGCACCGCTCCGCGTTGAGGGGTAATCTTTTAAGTAACAGAGTGGGTATTTTTATGTGCTTAGTTTTCCAGAAAATATCCTAATGCACTAGTAAGTTTCTAAAAATTAATATAGCTAGTAAGCATTTGGTTGAAAAACAGGACAAAAATGATATTTAACAACATAATAAGAAAATTTTCCTGGCTATACAGGAAAATTGCATATAAAATTTGTTGCATTAAAAGTTTTTTTCAGGTGGCGCCTGTTGCTCAAAGGAATAGGGCTCCAGCCCCATATCCAGCAAAAGTGGTGGGTTCATACCCAGCCCTGGCCAAAAACTGCAAAAAAAAAAAAAAAAAAGTATTTTTCTAGGCCAGGCACGGTGGCTCACGCCTATAATCCCAGCTCTCTGGGAGGCCAATGTAGGTGTATTGCCTGAGCTCATAGATTCAATACCATGAGCCAGAGCAAGAGCTCATCTCTAAAAATAGACTGGCATTGTGGCAGGCCCCTGTAGTCTCAGCCCCTTGGGAGGCTGAGGAAAGAGAATCACTTGAGCCCAAGAGTTTGAGGTTGCTGTGAACTATGATGTCACAGCGCTCTGCTGATGGCAACAAAATGAGACTCTGTCTAAAAAAAATTTTTTTTCTTCTCTACTGCAGAAGCTAATAAAATTTTCACTATACAATAGTAACTACCAACCTCTCAGTACATAATTCAAAGAGGTAAAGTAGTACATCTTTATCAGGTCTGCTTTACTGTTACTATAATTTAGTGGAAAACAGATTGGACTTGTTTTTTTGTTTGTTTGAGATAGAGTCTCACTTTGTCCCCCTTGGTAGAATGCCATGACGTCATAGTTCACAACAACCTCGAACTCTTCTGCTCAAATGATTCTCTTGCCTCAGCCCCCAAGTAGCTGGGACTACAGGTGCTGGCCATAATACCGGACTATTTTTAGAAATGGGTCTGGCTCTTGCTCAGGCTGCTGTCCATCCAACTCCTGAGGAGCTCAGGCAATCCTCCCACCTCAGCCTCCCAGAATGGTAGGATTGCAGGTGTGAGCCACCAAGCCTGGTCTCAAATTGGACTTGTTACTCATCCTGCCATGTCTTATTTACATATGGAATGAGGTCTTAGTCACATTACTACTAAGAACTTTTTCTCATATTATTAAAGTACTATTTTTCCATTTTACAGTGACCAACATACAAATATTTATTCATCTTATTCCTTTTGGGGAGCAATAGGAAACATTTGTGAGAGGTTGTGGTGGGACTGCATAATGATATAGCATCAAAACAAAAGGAACAGGGCGGTGCCTGTGGCTCAAAGGACTAAGGTGCCAGCCCCATATACCAGAGGTGGTGGGTTAAACCCAGCTCTGGCCCCCCCCCCAAAAAAAAACTGCTAAAAAACCCAAAAGGAACAGCCTGATGCAGTGACTCAGACCTGCAATCCCGTACTTTGGGAAGCTGAGGCAGGAGTATTGCTTGAGGCCAGGAGTTCAAGATTAGCCTGGGCACTGTCAGCACAAAACCTGTCTTTACAAAAAATATTAAAATTTAGCTAGGCAGAGAAGTGCACAGAGTAGCCCTAGCTACTCCAGAGGCTAAGTAGGAGGTTTGCCCACACCCAGGAGTTTGAGGCTACAGTAAGCTATGATGGAGCTACTGCACACTAGCCTGGGTGACAGAGCAAAAACCTGTGTCATAAAAAAAAAAAAAGGAGGAATATGCCTACTTATCTTTACCTCTGGTACTTCAAGCTCAAGGAGAGTCAGGATTTACAATCCTTTTTTTCCTCCTCACCTATCTACAAAAGAAAAACAAAACTGCTGCTTATTATTACTTACCTTATTAAAGGGTGGGGAACCTGCGGGCTTCTGATTTCAAAATTGTTCTTTTCCAAGCACCAAAGGAGTCAAGAAAAGCTTCATCTTTATCTGCTGTACCCCTTTTAATAAAAAGGTTTTATTAAAGGATTTTATTAAGGGCAGACCTCAGTGGTTAGGGTGCTGGCTGCATATCCCGGGGCTTGTGGGTTAGAACCTGGCCTGGGTCTGCTAAACAACAATGACAACTGCAACAAAAAAACAGCCAGATATTGTGGCAGGCACCTGTAGTTCCAGCTACTCGGGAGGCTGAGGCAAGAGATTAGCTTAAGCCCAAGAGTTAGAGGTTGCTGTGAGCTGTGACACTACAGCACTCTACTGAGGGTGACAAAGTGAGACTCTGTCTCAAAAAAAGGATTTGTTCTATAAAATTTGAATTCAGTCACAAGGCCACACTTAAGGACCTAGAAGGCCTCATGTGGCCTTAAGGCTGCAGGTTCCCCACCCCACCGCACCCTATCATCTAATCTCCTATCCCATTCTTCTCTCTAGCCAAACTGCACTGTTTTCCTGTTTGATTCCATAATAATTTAATACATGCTGTGCTCCGTTGTCTTTCCTTCCCTTCTTACAACAAAGCTCAGCTCAGGAATTACTTTCCAAGAAGCCTTCCAAATACCTGAATTACTTAGGCACTGCATTCTGTTCTAGGAGCATCTCTCGGTTATCTCTTTAATACTTAGTACACAGTAGTTAAATCATCTGTGTGTTGGTAACACTCATACTACGTATTGTGAAAGCAAGACTTGCACATAACAAGTACTCAGTACATTTTTGCTTCATTCATTTTTTAAATTTCTTGACTGGCTACTTAGTCCCTGGCGATCCACAATGAACTGAACAGGTATCATCTCTGCCCCCACAGAGTTGCTAGTCTAGTTTTAAGAAAATTACATAGCACCAGCCACCCTGGCTTCCTGAATATCTTGTTCAGATCTTCTGTCTTAAAATTACCTTATCTTACAGTGTGCTCCCTATTTCAAGAATTTGAGTTAAATGTGAAGACACATTCAACCATTTTATGTTGGTTTTATAAATGTCAACAATGTAGTCCTTGGCTATGTTCTTCCTAGACCATAGAGTCATTTATATGCAGGATTGGAGCTTTATAGAGAGGGGCAGGGCTCATGCCTCTTTTCTTTAGTGTTGGAGA